TTCACAAATTTTTGAAACGTTGCAAAATTAATCTTTAAAACAATGAGGGTTTGAAATAATTCAAAGCAACAATTCGAAGGTCGACAAAAAAAAGATTTCTTTACATCAGCATAAGATTGGTTGAAAAAAAGTGCTACAAATACAAAAATGAGAGGATTGCCAGTTATATAAATGGTATGATCAATGTCATTTATTTCTAATTTTACAAAATTTCTTCTACGGTTATTTTATATAATGACCAATGAGGATTAATCATTATATAAAATAATCTAATTAGAACCTATAATCTGCGCACAAATTAAGTATTACCTGCTGACTGTGCATTTGATCCCGTTCAAGAGCTTGTTCAAAGCGATCAAGCAACTGCATCATTTCACCATTGCACTCGAAATCATTGAAATGATTGTTGACCCACAGTAACACAATCCGTGCAATCTGAAATGTTCAGTAAGATATATCATCAAAAATTTAGAACTTACGAGAGCTATGCAATTATTTACCGCAATGTATCTAACAATAGCCATAGCAGTGCTACCGCACACCGATCGTGAACGTTCAGCGCTGATATTCTAAAAAAGCCTATGATGCCGACTGTCAAGTAATCCCACCTGACCTATCTAATCTGCAATTCAAAGAAACACAACTAACTCGGAAAAATGAGTCCTCAGTATTTCCTAAGTCTTTTTTTTTTTCGTTTTTTCTTCCACATTGTAAGTACTTGCACATTCACAAAGTAGTCATTTCACATAACTAAGCTAATTTTGCAGTGATCATAGCACTGTATCATAAAAGTCTGTGGAGAAAAGAAAAACTGAAACTGGAAATAAGTTCGATACTGCAAACCTTGTCTCTTAAATTCGATTCTGCAAACCAATGCATTAACTTTTCAAAAATCATGGTTGGATCATTGATGAATACACGATACATAAGGAGAAAATCTTCAATATAATGAGCATCCACTGCCGTGTCCCTTTCTTCAACTAAATGTTCAATCAGCTTTTCTCGGTTGGCTTTGATCAGCACTTGACCCATTTGATTACCCACTGATCTAAATTACCCAAGTATACAGAGTGTTTTCAGAAGGTATCATAAGAAGTGGTGAAGAGCGAAACCGAAAGATTATGGAAATATTTTGCTTACTAAGATGAAAATGGATAAACAACTGTGAAGCATATTTGTATCGTTACCTTCTTTCTATTTCTGAGACGATTTCACCGGTGATTCCATCCGAATGTTGTTCAATATGTTCACTTATAGTGCTCATAATGCTACAGTAATCTCGATGTTCAACCAGCACAAATTCACAATCATCAACTAATGTCCGCATTATTCCTACATGGTACTGAAAATTTTTATAACTAACCTTACATTTTATATTTAGTGTCCCCACTTCCAGCAAAAATCAGCAAGAGCTGGTATCTTTGTTCAAATCGTATGGATAGATCATCATCAGTCACAGGATCTGTTCTTTGCCAAACGAGACTTATGACCGACATATGAATCCACATGAAAAATCATACAACCTATCGGGGACAACCTTTTTCTTGATCCACAGAAATTACAAACGTTAGTTTAGAGAAGAAAACAAACCTGAGGAACCAGATCAGGTTGTACACCAAATGAATCGCCAAGTTTATACTCGATTCTTTCGCCATCCGGTAGAACAACTTCTACCTGGCCGTTTACGATGACTGACCATGCATCAATCCTTTCATTATGTTGCATAACAACTGTATTTGCTTCAGACACAACAGCAAATACCATTTTTAAGCAAAGTTGGCGCTTTATACTCAACGGAAGTGTTGCTAAAGCTGACATATGCTGCATGAAATCCTAAAATAGATAAACTTTCCTCATGAAGTACTGAGAAATCAAGATATTTTAAATGATGAGTATTTTGGATTGGATTTCGGTAGGCAATTTTTCGCACTTTTTTGAAATTCTTAAATGTTAAATTACCATTCCACGCGTCACACTGCAATGACTTCATAGAATTTCCACTACCCAAATTAATTTTTGTAAACAGAAACAGATAACATTAATGAATCTACGCAGAAAATCTTACCAGTAATGTGCATATATCGTCAGCTGTTCTTTCAAAAGGTTCCTTTTCAAGACATTCACGAACGCTATCTTTTAACTCATGAAAACTATCATATGAAGGACATGATTCATCGTCTTCTTCGCTGTCGACTGCTGCCTCTGGAAGTCCTAAATATGGGGTAAAATATAGCAACTCCGACGGGATATAACATGGGATTTAAAGCAATCTGTATTAAATTTACTATAACATCATTGCACCGACTTTTTATGTGTATTCAGGTAACTGAATATATGCAACGCACCGTGCAAATCATCTTCGTTTGTACTTGATGAAGTCGTACTTGACAAATGCGTGTAAAATTCGCTACTATTTGGACTTGAAATTGAATTAGATTTGCGTGCTTTGTGCTTCACCTTGAGTCGAGTATCCGTGTCCACATTTAAACCATTCAAATATATCTCAAGAATTAATATATAAAGAATTGAAAGTTCCACAGATTATTGCACCATAAATATTTGATCATTAATTATACTTTTTGAAGTAAGCTTACCTGGCTTTTGTACGAAGTATAATCAGAACCACTAGCATTACTGGAGCATATATCGTCTCTTTCCTGACGAAAAGACCTGTGTTTTTTTCGCTCAGACCTTGAAATTGGTGATTCAGTGGCACTGAGAGGCGATGCTTTTCCAGTTTTGTAAAGACGAGAAGGTGGCGGAAGAGATGGACTGGAAGTAGCAGAGTCTGCACCTGAACGAATTGAAACAGTGACCGTGCCAGATGGTGACGGTATGGCTGCAGCGCTCAATGCACATAATGAATTGCGTAAACGACCACTGTTTTCCGTCAAACACATATGTCCCTTGTTCATCTTTATATGTTTTACATCTGGATAATCAATCTGAAAAAAAAAGTCAATAGATATTACACTTATGAAATGCGCCACAGCATTAAACGTAAAAATTAAATACACCCGATCCTATCCGATTCAAAATAAAACATCAAAAAATCAACTGTTTATTTGGCATCTGAATAACAGTAAAAAATAACTATTAGCAAAATTTTATGTTAGAAAAACCTAACCACAATCATTTCTGCTGGTTGTAAAACAATGCAGTCGTTTTTGCGTCGATAATCCAAGCCATTCCGTTTACCAAACCTGTGATATTTTTATGTTAAGTCCTTTTCTGTGATTAGTGAGTATGGACGTCTGAGAGGGATGATTCCTTACGAGTTATTAAAAAAATGAAGATCTAGAAATTCACTCGGTAGCACCAGAATCACTAGAATTCCATTAATTACAACAACACAGGACCCTTCCATACAAGTTTATAATTTAACAACTATCCTTTCCTATCCAGCTCCACGTCCGATTGTCAAAAAAAGACTCTATATAAGTCATAAGATAAATGAGCTTTAATTTAACAGTCCTTCAATAATTATTTCACACATAATTAAACCAAAACTGTATACCAGCCGCAGGGTAAGTAGATTTGTTCATCCATGAAAACACATCCGGAAAGTAATATATACCAACATGTAGCAACTTGGCCTTGTCTAAAATTAACATATGTAATGAACTAATACAAACTGCTCTCCCACTTACCTATTCTTGCATATATTATAAAAACTCACATAAGATCCAACAAAAAAAAAGTCATCAAGTAAAAGAAAAACACACAACTAAATCACATATCTCACCGAAAAAGAATAAAATTCGCCGGATGTCTTTCAAACCGTGCAGTACAACAAATTGCCCGAAGTGGCGCATCATTTAAGTTATGAAAAACATCTAAGCGTCGTAAATTTGAATAAATAATTTTCAAGTCCTGAAAGAAAGATAACAACAAATATCCACTAATTAACGTATACACATACTATCTTATATACAGTAACTGAAATTTTTCTTGTTAAGAATAACAAGCTTCATTGGTCAGTAACTACTAATTGCCAATTGGTATAAATCTTCTACTATCAATAAGTGATAATTGCACTAACTGAGACATTTTCGACCATAATTAGAAATTACCAAAAGAATAAAAAATAGAAAAAAGACCTCATCTGTCCTTGTAGATGGCTCTTTAGCAATAGAAGCAATGAATACTTCCTTGTAATGCTCCATGCTATCACAACTATCATTCAACAAATCCCCATCGAACTGGAAGTTGTTATCATTCTTGTTACTCAGTAAGAAGCTACCGTAACCAAATTTTCCATACTGGAGCCAATCGGTTATTGTAACATATTTCATATGTGTGGAAATACATTTACTTGTCATCGCGATATTGCCAGTTCTGGGGGTTATGAGATACAACAGAGTATTCCCTGAGAGTTACTGTTATGAATTCGCGGTCTAATATGATTACGAACTGATGTGTTGCTGTTGATAATATGCAAGGTATGATGAACTTTGAATTTTTTACTATCCTTTCTTTTTTTTTTTCCCCTCCCCTCCCCCGTAAAATTCATGGTTAAAATTTTGTTCTTAAATTAGAGATAAATTCTTGATCGATGTTGGTAGGATTTAGAATTGAAATTTGTCATTTCCATGTATAGCACTTTCATGGATGTGCGATGAATAAGTGCGAGATGAAATTAGGAAATTTATCAGAATTATAAAAACAAATGAATCAAAAGAATGATCAGTAAAAAACACAAAGCTACAACAACGAGATAACACTGAGAAAGCTCTTTGTTAAGACCTTGCAATATTAAATCTGCAATGTTAGATAAAGTGTGCTTCGAACTAAGGCAATTAGTGCAATGATAATTCCAGCATCAAAAATTGAAAGAACGAGAAAAGTCTACACAAGTACTATATCCATATTGTGATCCAAACTTTTACTCTGGATCAGCGTAGCTTTATCATCCGATTACTTGCTTGTTTATTTGATTCCGATCAAATGCAACCATAAACTGGAGTGTTTGAAAATGGCCTTCAGAAGAACCACTAACATTATGTTAAAAGCGCCGACAGCAAGCCGATTAAAGCTGGCAGATAGATACAGTTTTCCGATTCTTCTAAAGTACAAATGTTTCAAATTTTAAGAACAATCCTAGGAATGTAAGGTGATTGATTCATTGGTCAATAAACTTTCGAAAAAGCTTTTGTAAAGGAATTTTAAAATGCCTAAAGATCATCATTGGAACGCTATAGTATGATTGTATTTGGGATTTCAGACTGAAATTGCCAGGAACATTTATTGCTATCTCCTGGATGAAACTATGATATCGGATCTTTTTCTGTCTTAATCACTGGTTTGATTCTGGAAGACTGTTAGTATAATAAAGACTGATTTGAATCTGTTTAAATTTACGTTTATCAAATTGTTTTGCAGACTTTACTAAATTAAAAATGAGATATGCGATATATTCTTCATATTACAGTTACTAAAATGAAATGCCCTGTGAACTAACCCCAAATTTGTTAACTACTATTTTAGAAGCCTTAAAAATCACATCACCATTTGCTTTTGGATGCATAAGATATTTCAGCATATTCCATTCCACATTCGTTGAGTTTATATCATAAGAACTGGATATATTCAACAGGTAAAACGCTATTTGTTCCAGCACTTCGCTACTGTTTTGTTGTGTCACAATGGATGCGAATGTATTTGTGATAATGCCGAGGAGTAAAATATACATAGCTTCAAAAATTTTCAGTAACATCTCCCTAAAATTCGCATTCAATGATATTCAAAAAATGAAATATAAAAAAAAAAAACCATTATTAAAAACAAATATAACGTGCCTTGCATTATTTCCAGAAAAATGTTAATTTTTGGGAGAAGAAACTAATCCTGAAAAGAAAATGTTACCTTCAGTTGACTTATCCTTTTTTATAAGGTAGATTATGATCTCTTACTACATGTTTCTGGAGTACTATAAACTACAAAAAACGATGAACAAGTCCCGTTCTGATCCTCTGCGAATTATTTATCTCATAAATTGACATTACAGCAACTTGACCTATTCATGCATATTGTAGGGTTTTCTCAGTTTATTTGTCATCCTATATTAATGATAAAATATTGCTCAGCTAAGAATCGTTTTTTCTTGTCATTGTTTTTTGACACACAAATATTATGCAGATATTGGCTCATTGATTTTTTGATCTAAAATCTTTAAATAATTCAGTGGAAAAGTAGTAATTTGCATTTTGGAATTCACAGCAAATGTTGAAAACTCACAGTACTGGAATTATTTACTCATTTGAGGAAGGTAATTAAGGACTAAGGTGTTTTGTATTAAAGTGCTCAAAATGAAGAGGAATTCACATGTACTCTAGTACAAACATGTTCAAACATGTCCCATCGTAATTTCATCAGTAATATTATGAACTGTTTTTGTTCGTAAGTATTTTGTAGCTATTACTGTTATTTGTTAAAATTACTAGTTACTGTGTATTGCACGAAAAACTCGAAATTTTATAAATTAATAAAAGAAATAAAATAATGAAAATACTCCATGTACAATAAATACAGTATAAAATTATTTGTACAAAGCACTTTTATGCAAAGCACCCAGCACTTTAATCATTAAATCCAAATAAGTCTGTACATTCAAACGAAATTTTGAACTATATATGATTGAACACAAACTACCTTTGAAAAAGTGTTCTAAATTGGAGCTATCACAGTGTTAAAAATTATTCTAGCAGTTTGCAAATGAAACACAGAAATCAAATATCCCTTTCAAATGGTTAGGAATCATCACCAATGATTAATTAATTCTAGGATGTTAAGTCGAGAAAGTAATAATGTATCATTCGAAAGAACAGACTTACAGGCACGTTAAAAAATACTTGTACATTTGTTAAAAGTTTTTTAGAAGGGAACAAAATTCTAAATGAAAATAATTGAATATGCAGGTGATCCAGTCATTTGGTAAATTAGAATTCTTATTAATGTATGTTTCGCACTCCAAACACGTCTATAAAAAAGAAATACATGATAATCCTGGCTAATGATGCAGACCGCTCAGTGGTAGCTGACTGTCTCTTCTTAGTATATCACGCATTATTTTGATACCACCCAACTGTAACATCGTAATAGGAATAAATTTTTTGAGAGTTCAGATATTGGAAAAGACAACTCATCTGATATAGTCTACATGCATCTAACATTAAGCCATATGGAATAAAACTCAAGCACTATGTGAGATAAAAAGCGCTAAGAAAGTTTTCGACTATTCGAAATATGATTTGTTTCATTGTATGGCCTAATTGCTGTGTAGAAGTTAATCAGGAAGTCTCGGACACTTTTCCTGCTAAACATTCCATCGGAATGGCACATTGAGCAGAGGAAAATTGGTGGAAATTGTCGCTTCTCAAATTGTGGATCTTCCGTTGATTTGTCGCCATGCAGTCGAGCATTAACAATGTTATGAGCACGCCACAGGTAGAACATCATATCATGAGTATTTTGCACCTATAATAGTATCACTCTTTAATTTGATTGACGAAATCTTAAATTTGACATAAATTTTGCTATTTTAGCATTTAGCAACCTGCAACTAAAAGTTATCTTGAAGATCGGATGGATTTATAGAATGTAAAAAGAGAGAAAAAAATCAAGTAGCCAGCTAATCTTATAACCACTGAAATTGTCAAAAAGTTTCCTGAGCCAGTTCTTTTTTCTTACTGTAATTTTTGATTGATATTTGTTATCTTTCAAATTTGCTTTTCTTGAAAATCTATATAAGTAAACTGTGTAAATAAAGTGAACTATAAAAAAAAAAAAAAACCCGGCGTTTAGTCAACGGATAGAGAGTGGTTGTCATGTGCAAAAAATGTCGTCGACAATCCAGGCAACCAAAGAAGTTGACAACCCAACCCCGTATACTGAGCAATAGATTAATGGGTGATTGTAAGCTTTGCATGAAGGCATTAACGGTAATTGCGTGAAATGTTGTCCATAGGCCACACGTATAACCTCGATATCCTAATGCTGTTCCTTTGCAGTGTTCCCATGAAGCGTTCATCGGGAATGGATATCCATATACTCGCTGGAAAATTCCATTCAATTTTCAAAGCTTTTTAAAAAATTTCATAAAAACTTTCAAGAAATGTGATATTGCTATCAATACTTTGAACAGACATATTTATGAATTTACTTCGACATTCTGGAATTGATTTCGCCAAACAATTGTTGAAATTGCATGCTTTTCATTGTGTGCTTCTAGAAAATGTCGAAGATGCAAAAAGACTGATTTGGCTCGTGCGCTTTGCTTCAAGGCCTCAAAAAAAAAAAAAAAAAAAAAAAAAAAAAATCTATAAAAAAAAAAATAACATAATTAAATGACCGGTATACATTCATCAATAGATAACATAGCATTTAGCAGAGATTCATTACTAAGAGATTCATGAATAACTTGTAAATAACCGATGGCTATTTTTACTCCAAAATGCATACGGGAATTTGTAGAGAGTGAAGAAGGAAAAGGGAAATAGATTTAAAAAGAAGACTACGAGTCACTAATTCGTTCATTCGTTCTTTTTAATGTTAATTTTAAAAAGCTTGTACCACCGAAACAGCAAGAAAGAGAGGAGACGAAGACACTGGAAGAGAAAGAGAGAGATTTATGATCACATTTCATTGTCCTGATCCAAATTTCAGGCTCAGTAGGTGGGCCTAATTTATTAGCTTAATGTCGACTACTGTTTGTAAAATAATGACTTGGTGTGAAATACTTAGCTAATGCGTTCGAACGTTAAGTGTACAACGTTTCAAGGGTGGTACAGGGAAGATATCTCTTCAAAAGAAAAGAGCTAGGCACTAGGAAAGAGGACTAGCATAAATCACAAACACCACCTGCCATACCGATATCGGCTATAGAGAAATGGAACAATTTACCGCGAATGATTTCTGATTCGTTGTTTGTGATGTTGTATTGGATGTATAAATTGGAAAATGCTGAAAATACATAATATACATAATTTGAGAAAAACATAATTATTTGTATGTTAAAGCAAAATCTGAAATAAATTTTTATATGCTAAAATGGAAGTTCATTTTTTACAAATTTATATATTTGAAATATTTCAACAAAATAATTGTATTACTTCAGCAAGAACACTGATGAAGTCTAGTAGTGCTGTGAAGTTTGTACCAGCAATGTTGCTGTTTGTTTTAATTACTTCATCAAATATTGCCATACGCATTGCTTTCAACATATCCGTCTCCGATACATAGTATAACTCACGGCATCTTAAATTTAACCATTAATCAATCAGATTTTCCACCAGATCTTTTTATAAAAAAAAAGACGGATTCATTTGTGCCAAAATGAATGAATAGAAAACTTATTCGGATATATACAGTATTACAATTTTAATTATGTGTAATGTGAAAGAAAGAGCATTAAAAAATAAAGGAACAAAAAACAAGAAAAAAAAAAATATTATATGCAGAAAAAACGTAGTTGAACATTTGAATCACCACAATATTTGACGTTAAATTACTTTCAAGATTCCACCAATTCTACACAATTTAAAGTTGCATATAAACAAGAAAAATTAAAAAAGAAACAGGAAAGACAAAGGAAAAAATGTTAACCGTTCCGATGTTTTTTAGGAAGAATTCAATAAGAGAAGATTTTTAAATAGCAAGAAAAAAAACAGTTTCATAAAATTGTAATAATGAGAGAGTTTTGCTAACCTATCGTGATGCAACTCGCACTGTACGATAATTTGCTGCACAACAGGTGATGGTACCGGTGCAGCATGAAACACAAGCTGCATTGGTGTCGAATATGTCATTTTCATTACTTCTTGCAACAAATGCGGACCATATCTAGATTTATTCACCAGAAAATTAAAAAAAAGAAAACATCACCTGTTGTGGTGAAAGAAAACATTACTTCACTGAAAGTTATATGCTGCAGCATTTCGGCAAATTATTTTCGTAAAAACTCATAAAAATTATCCTCAAATCTGAGCCAGTTTTAAAAGAATCAAAAACTACTAGCAAATAATAATTACTTTTGTTACTTAAAATGAATTATTCCAAAGTTAACTTGCTTACAGTTTGGAACAAATTTTCCTTTTCTTCCTAGTAGTTTCAATTAATATTAGCTAGTAATTTAATTAAAGTGAAAAATATGAGAAATGAAAAATTATGAAGGCAAAAGAGAAATGAAAACCTACGGACTTTGATAGATCGGCTTGTCTTGATTACGCTTGAAAACTATGACGTATGGCAATTGTGTGATGGTGAATAATCGGGTAATAGGTGAAGGAACAATAATTCTTCTGGTAAGCACCGTTCTTTGAAGTGGAAACATATCCAGTAAGAACTCCACACCAATGCTATCGAATTGCTCGAATAGGAAAACAAGAAACTGATGAGAATCATTCATCTGATTCCAAAAATTTCTCAGTGCTATTGCACTAAAAATTATGCAAAATCATTTTGTTTTGTTTTTCTTTTAAAAATTACCAATTTTAATTTTTACAATTTTAATCCAGAAATTAATTCGGTTAATTATCTGATATGTTTTGATGATCAATGTAGTGAACTCTTTCATGCATTCTATGTTCAACGAAAGTCATCCGACCATGACTTGGAAATGTTTTGCATAAGATGTTAGACAGTTCTAATAGCCGAAATTAAGTAATTTTTGATGTGAAATTTGCTTAATTTCTT